GCATCAACAGGCAAAGAGTTATGACGCCGGAAGATGAGCCCCTCAGGTCGGAAGGTGTCCAATGTGCTACTGGGGAAGAGCAGAGGGCTAGTAATAGTAGCGCCAGAAAGAATGAAGCGACTGGGTCAAAGCCGAAAGGACACTCAGTTGCGGATGCATCTGGTGGTGGAAGGAGAGTCCGATGCTGCAAAGATCTATACTCCAAAGGAACCTGGAATGTAAGAGCTATGAATCAAGGCAAGCTGGACGTGGTCAAACAAGACTGAACATCGACATCTTGGGAATCAGCAAACTAAAATGGACAGGAATGGGTGAACGTCATTCAGATGACCATCAGGTATACTACTGTGGGCAAGAATCCCTCCGATGAAATGGAGTAGCCTTCATAGTCAATAAAAGAGTAGGAAAAGCAGTACTGGGATACAATCTCCAAAATGACAGAATGATCTCAGTTCGAATCCAAGGCAAACCATTCAACATCACAGCAGTCCACGTCTATGCCCGAACCAGTGATGATGAGGAGGCTGAAGTTGACAGGTTCTATGAAGGCCTACAACACCTTCTAGAATTAACACCAAAATATGATGTCCGTATCATCATGGTGGATTGGAATGCTAAAATAGGAAGCCAAAAAATAACCAGAATAACAAGAAAGTTTGGCCTTGGAGTACAAAATGAAGCAGGGCATAGGCTGGCAGAATTTTGTCAAGAGAATATGCTGGTCAGAGCAAACACTCTTTTCCAACAACCCAAGAGATGACTCTATGCATGGAGATCACCAAACAGTCAACACAGAAATCAGATTGACTATGTGCTCTGCAGCCAAAGATGGAGAAGCTCTATACAGTCAGGAAAAACTAGACCAGGAGCTGACTGTGGCTCAGATCATGAGCTTCTTGTTGCAAAATTTAGGCTTAAATTGAAGAAAGTAGGGAAAAGCACTAGGCCACTCAGGTATGACCTAAATCATATCCCTGATGAATATACAGTAGAAGTGACAAATAGATTTAAGGAATTAGATCAGATAGTGCCTGAAGAACTATGGATGGAGGTTCGCAACATTGTACAAGAGGTAGCAACTAAAACCATCCCTAAAAAAAAGAAAAGAAATGCAAGAAAGCAAAATGGCTGTCTGAGGAAGCTTTACAGATAGCTCAGGAAAGAGGGGAAGTGAAAGGCAAGGGAGAAACAGAAAGATACACCCAAGTGAATGCAGAATTCCAGAGAATAGCTAGAAGAGATAAGAAGGCCTTCTTAAATGAGCAGTGCAAAGAAATAGAAGAAAACAATAGAATAGGGAGGACCAGAGATCTCTTCAAGAAAATTGGGGATATGAAGGGAATGTTTCATGCAAAGATGGGAATGATAAAGGACCAAAATGGCAGGGACCTAACAAAGGCGGAAGAGATTAAGGTGGCAAGATTACACGGAAGAACTATACAAGAAAGAGCTTAACGTCCCTGATAACCACAATGGGGTGGTCACTGACCTCGAGCCAGACATCCTGGAATGTGAAGTCAAATGGGCTTTAGGAAGTCTGAGCAACAACAAAGCTAGTGGAGGCGACAGTATTCCAGCTGAGCTATTCAAAATCCTAAAAGACGATGCAGTAAAAGTGCTACACTCAATATGCCAGCAAATTTAGAAAACTCAACAGTGGCCACTGGATTGGAAAAGGTCAGTTTACATTCCGATCCCAAAGAAGGGCAATGCCAAAGAATGTTCAAACTACTGCACCATTGCACTCATTTCACATGCTAGCAAAGTTATGCTCAGAATCCTACAAGCTAGGCTCCAGCAGTATGTGGACCGAGAACTACCGGAAGTACAGGCAGGAGTTCAAAGAGGGAGAGGAACTAGAGATCAAATTGCCAATATACGCTGGATCATGGAGAAAGCTAGGGAGTTCCAGAAATACATCTACTTCTGCTTCACTGACTATGCTAAAGCCTTTGATTGTGTGGATCACAACAAATTGTGGCAAGTTCTTAAAGAGATGGGATTACTAGACCATTCTATTTGTTTCTTGAGAAACCTACATGCAGGTCAAGAAGCAACAGTGAGAACTGGACAAGGAACCACTGATTGGTTCAAAATTGGGAAAGGAGTTCGGCAAGGCTGTATACTGTCGCCCTGCCTATTTAACTTATATGCAGAGCACATCATGAGAAAGGCAGGGCTGGATGAATCACCAGTTGGAATTAAGATTGCTGGGACAAATATCAACAACTTCAGATATGCAGATGGTACCACTCTAATGGCAGAAAGTGAAGAGGAACTAAAGAGCCTCTTGATGTGGGTGAAGGAGGAGAGTGCAAAAGTTGGCTTGAAACTCAACATTAAGAAAACTAAGATCATGGCATCCGGTCCTCTCACTTCCTGGCAAATAGCTGGGGAAGAAATGGAGGTAGTGACAGATTTTATTTTCCTGGGCTCCAAGATCACCGCAGACAGGGACTGCAGCCAAGAAATTAAAAGACGCTTGCTCCTTGGGAGGAAATCTATGGCAAATCTAGACAGCATACTAAAAAGCAGAGACATCACCCTGCCAACAAAAGTGCATATAGTCAAGGCGATGGTTTTCCCAGTTGCAATGTATGGCTGTGAAAGCTGGACCATAAGGAAGGCTGAGCGCCAAAAAACGGAGGCCCTTGAATTGTGGTCCTGGAGGAGACTCCTGCGAGTCCCTTGGACTGCAAGGAGATCAAACCAGTCAGTCCTAGAGGAGATCAACCCCGACTGCTCTTTAGAAGGTCATATACTGAAGATGAAGCTCAAATACTTTGGCCACCTAATGAGAAGGAAGGACTCACTGGAGAAGAGCCTGATGCTGGGAACAATCGAAGGCAAAAGAAGAAGGGGACAGCAGAGGATGAGGTGACTGGATGGAGTCACTGAAGCAGTCAGTGTGAGCTTAAGTGGACTTCAGGGTATGGTGGGGGGCAGGAAGGCCTGGAGGAGTGTTGTCCATGGGGTTGTGATGGGTCGAACATGACTTCATGACTAACAACAACAACAACTAAACTGATCGGGATAGTTGATACCCCCAAACAAGATGATTTTGACAAGTTAAAATTCTGGGCTGAAAACAAAATAATGAAATATGACAGAGACAAATGCCAAGTTCTGCTCCTAGGAAAAAGAAATCAAATGAAACTTTACAAGATGGGGATTTCTTGGCTCAGGGATACCGGAAATTAAAATGATCTTGCAATTGTTGTAGATAACAAGCTAATTATGAGCCAACAATGAGGTGTAGCTGAAACAAAAGCAAATGCTTTTTAAGTAGCATTAACAGAAGTATCACTTCCAAATCACAAGAAGTAGTCGTTCCTAAATTCAGAACTGGTCAGACCCCATGTGGAGTCCTGGGTCCAGTTCTGGGCACCACACTTTAAAAAAGATGCCGACAAGCTGGAAACGGTTCAGAGGAAGGAACAAGGATGATCTGGGGAATGGAAGCAAAGCTCTGTGAGGAAAGATGGAAAGAACTGGGCCTGTTCAGCCTCGAGGAGCAAAGACTGAGGGGAGGCAGGATAGCTCTCTTCAAGTCCTTGAAAGCCCGTCCCAGAGAGAAGGGCCAGGATCTCTTTTCAGTCATCACAGAGGGAAGGTACCAGAATAACAGGCTCAAGTTACAGGAAGCCCGATTCCGGCTGAACATCAGGAATAAGCCCCTGACTCCGAGAGCAGTACAGTAAAGGAACCCGTGACCCAGGGAGGCTGTGGGCTTCCCCTCACTAGGACCAGTCAAAATGCACTTGGATAGCCATCTGAGAGGGAGGGGGCAGCTCGATGTGCTGCGCTGAGCAGAAGGGCAGACCCAATGGCCCTCTATCCCCCTCCAGCTCTACTACTCCATGAGGATGATGGTGATGAAGAAGACAAAGTTCTCAGCAGCTGGACTCGCTTGCATGTGCCTTTCTGGGGCCAGAGCAAAGCACGAGCAGGCCAAGAGCCTCAGCACGCTGCCCTCGCACGACCCTCGCACTCTCCCACCCCCCGCCTCTCCCTCCCACAGCCTCCGGATCCTCTCACCCATTCGTGCGCGCTCCCTGGCCTCCCGGGCTGAGTAGCCGGCCCCTGCCCAGAGCTGGCGATTCAGCAGGGCCCCACCACCCCAGCCCCCAGCGCCGCTGCCCCTCTGCCCTGCTGCAGCCACGGGGGGGGGGGGCAGGGGGAAGCAGGGGAGGCTCCCCCACTGGCCCGCTGCTGGGCTTCCCCTGCCCATCATGCATGCAAGGGGCAGTCAGGGGGCATGGAGCACGAGTGGCTGGGGGCCGGAGGCAGGCGGGGGCGGGGGGCTCGCCACGAGCCCACAAGCTGGGAAACCAGAGCCGGTCCTGCCCCCCTCCAGCTTCCCCGGCCTCCCTTGCCTGGACCCCTCCCTTCGTTGCTCCCTCCTGCCCGCACTCTCCTGCTCCGCCCGCCCTGCTTCCTGCCGTCCTCTCTTGACTCCCACAGCCTTGCCCTCCTCCTCCCTTCAGCCCGCGGCTGCTGCCCGAGGCCTGCCCAGCGACCGCCCACCTGGAGAAAGGATGGGCAAGGCCTCTTGGCAGAGGCCAAACGGAACACGGGCTCCCAGGGAGGCCAGCAGCCGCGGTGCCCAGGCGTCACCATGGCTGGCTCAGCACCCTGGGGAGCACCTGAAAAGTTCGGCTGGGACCTGGCTGCGAAGGACGGACAACGCTCCTGCCCCTTGATCCTGAGCCTGGTGCCCCGCATTTGCCACTGCTTCTATGTCCCCCCCCCAACACTGTCTCCCCAATATTTTATGAGAAATTGTATGCCCCTTGGGATATAAACCTATTCTCAATTATTTTGCAAAGCCCTGCTTCACGGAAACTAGGACTTGTCAGGAATCCAAAAAGACCCCACACACCGCTGGAGCCCAGATCTGACCACGCACCACTTCTGCAGACACGCCCTGGGTGCCAAGAGCAACACCGTACCTGGGCACGGGGCCTGATCCTGGGAAGCCCCTGCCCAGAGTGGCCTACCTCTTTCTTCTTCCGCTTGGCTTTGGAAGTCTTGTTCTCCTTCAGCTTCTTTGGCTTCTTCTTCTTCTGGGTGCCCATCTGCTCTTCGGTGCAGAACTCCTCCAGGCCTTCCAGTACTCCATCCTCTTCTTCTAGATGAGGATGGGAAAAGGATGAGTTAAGGAGCTGGGATCCAGAAAGAAGACTCTGTGAGAAGCTATGTGGACAGCGGGGGCGGGGGGGGGGGGGGAACCAGTCCCTCCTTCTGCTTGTGTGGTGGTGAGCCAGTTGCTCATGGGAAACCCAGCAGCAGTGGAAGCTGGGGCTCCAGCCTCGCTCCGGGCTTTAGCCTAAGCAGCAAAGGTGCTGTTCATGGTGCTGAACCATGTGCCCCCCTCCAATGATTTGGCACCACAGATGGCTCCTTAAAGTTCAGCCTGCAACATGGAGGCCATCAGCTTGCATTGCCCGCAAGCAGCGCATGAGGTCAGCTGCTCTCCCCTGTCCACAAACCTCGGCATGGTTTCTCTTGTACCAGAGGTAGCACCCGTCCCCCCATCCCCTCCATCAGTATGTTAGATCCCTTTTAAAGCCACCCCAACTGGTGGCCACCCACATCTTGTGGAAGTGGATTCCACAGAGTTAGCCATGAATAGCATGAGGTCCTTCGCTTGATCTGCCCTCTCATCCATCACTAGATGGCCCCTTTGCAATGAGGCAGAGAGGAAGATCTCCTTCTACACCTTCTCCACACCTGGCATAATTTTGATCACCTTTATCCAGTACTCACTGTTTTTAATCTCTGCTGGTGTGGACTCTCCTCCCAGGGGACCTGCATCATTTGAGTTGCCCTTCTCCCAATTCTACAGTCCCCCTTTAAGAAGGCATATTTATTTCGGTACAGCAACAAGAACTCCACACAATGCGTGGTCCCACCATAGATGTGCAAGAGGGCAGTAGGACTGTGGCCATTCTTGTTCCCATGCCTTTCCTAAGTGTGGCCCACCTGCAGCTCGCCTTTTCCACAGCTACGGTGCACGCGGCTGGCACATTCCCTGCGCTGTGTACCACAACCCGCAGGTCCCTCTCTTGGCCCAAGGCTGGAATTTCCATTGCTGCCGATGCTGCAGCCTCGTGTTTACGAGAGCTGAGCAGGGCGGCCAAGGGCATGACCCTCTGGAGGGCTTGCAGTGACAGGGCTGGCCCAAACTGGAGAGGGCGTGAAGGCCAGAGCCATACTGAACCAGTTCGGGGAGACACTCCGGGGCTCCTTGCAATCCCTTTTGTTTTGACCACCCTAAATAATTCAGCATTGTCACCAAATTTGCCCACTTTGCTGGTCACTCCTAATCCAGATCAAACAAGTTGAAACGCGCTGGTCCCAATACAGATCCCCGGGGGACCACACAGCTTACATCACAGGTGTCCAACCTGCGGCCCACGGGCCACATGCGGCCCAGGATGGCTATGAATGTGGCCCAACACAAAATCATAAACTTACTTAAAACATTATGAGATGTTTTTATTATTTTGTACCTCAATTGCGTACTTCTCGAGCATGAACTTTATAGATGACAATGCCGTGTCACAATGTCTCATAAAATAAACGTACACATGCTCTCGCTATTTGTACATGCGCATGGCTTCAGGTTTATGGCAATGTGCAGCTTCCAGAGTGTTATCTTCCAAGCGCAGAGAGTTGAATTAGCACCATCAGACACTGCATGTGCTCATTACATGTGACTTGGTGAGTGAAACGCAGCTATTATCAATAATATTTCAACCTACCATTGCAAACAATTTCATACCTTTCGACATGTTGGCTAAACACAGTCCTGTGGACAGTGAAAAATATGCAGCCCTGCCTTACAATTTATACAAGAATTTGAAAACAGATTTCAAGATTTCTGGAAAAATAAGCACTATTTTGGTATATTTGCAACTCCATTTTCAGTCAACATAAATATGTTACCTGCCCATTTTCAAATGGAATGCATAGAGCTGCAACCTGACATTCAACTTAAGGAAAAATTTGATCATGGACTTTTATAAGTCCCATCTTCCCAGAGAGAAATATCCCTCACTTCATAGTCACACCTTATTCATGTCTTCCCTTTTTGGCAGCACCTACATTTTGTGAGCAACTCTTTCCAAGAATGAAGCACACTAAGAGTAAAATTAGAACCAAACTATCTGATGAGCTTGAGGACTCACTGAACCAAATATTGATGAACTGGCTTCTGAAATGCAATGTCAAATATCCCACTAGTTTTGTGTTGCCCTCTTTTCTTTTACTTTTAAAATAAAAGTATCAAAAATGAAGTTTTACTACTTGGATATATTCATTTTCTATATCAGTGATCACAAACTTGGGATTTGCTTGATGATTTTAAAAGACTCTCCAAACAGGGCACCACATAATTAGAATTATTATGTGAGAACTTTTTTTGCTTATCTCTGGTAGCAGATATAACTAAAATTATGCACAGACTTTTTTTCTCATTAGCTTTTGTTGGTGTTTATGTATTTAATGTGTGGCCCAAGACAATTCTTCCAGTGTGGCCCAGCAAAGCCAAAAGTTTGGACAGCCCAGGTTTACATCCCTTCCCTGGGAGAATTTACTAACTCCTTATCCTTCAGATGTTTATCCTTACTCTCTACTTCCCATTCTTTCACCAGTTACTCTTCTTGTTCCACGAAAGCTCTTTTGGTCTTACACTCAACCCATCCAGCTCCGGTGCTGTCCAGGGGCTCGGGAAGAGAGGGGTTTTTCTTCACCAACTTGTGTTTTCTTCTCTGTACCTCTTTTCTGCATCCTTCCAGCATCTGTGCTGCCCAAGAGGCCTCCACCTACCCCTGCCCCCCCTTTTTTGAGCTGGAAGTGACAGGGCCTGGACTGGGAGCCTCCCGGTGGCGAAGGAGGGCTCTTTGTGGCATCCACGCCTCCAGTCTGGAGAGGACAGCTCTGCATCTGAAGGCCAGCCAGAGGACCAAAGGAGCACCGGTGTTGCCCTGGACTCCTGGAGGCAAGATGGGACACAAATGCAACAATGGGTCTAAAATAAAATAAAATAAAATCTCAAGGGAGCTCAGAATACCCACCTCAGAGGAGGTTGCCTACTGCATCTCTGAATGCTTCCTGGCTATGGACTAGCCTCCTTTCACAACCAGTTTCCAGAGCGCTCTTCATTGCCTGCATTGGGTGCATTCAGACCACTCAAGACTGGACCACTTGGGTGTATTTGGACCACTCGCTATTCTATGGTTCTCAGTTGTTTCCAGTGCAAATGTAGCACAGAAACTACCCTCGAAGGAGGCTTGCTCAGAACAGTGACTCATACAGAAACTCGGCAGTGCTTCTCCAAGGATCAGCCATTCTTCCTTCAACGGATTCTAGAAATGAAGCTTTTCAGCTCTTGGGAGTCAATGTGCCTCCAATTTCAATTCAGAAAGAAATACAGAAATGTGCTACTGCCTATGAACTGGCTGCTGCTCCCTGAGAATCTATGCTTCTAGTCCTTATAGCTGCAAATATAGAGCTTAGCATGAACCCTGTGAAATCTCAGAGACTCGGCCTGGAGGAATAATAGCTCCCAAGGAAGATTTCCAGCGGAAGGTGAGCTGCGTGGCCCCCATCACCACCACTGCCCTTGCAGCCCCACGCAGGGTGACTTCCACAAACCTCGCACATACATAGCCAGCTCTGCTGTGCTGCTGAGGGTCTCCTGGGCCTAGGACTTGTCTTTAGTGGGTGGGGGTCATCCTTGCTGAAGTTACGCAGGGGTCAGGCTGATCAGTGCCCTGGGTGAGGCACTGCCCCATAGCTGCCAACTCTACTAAAGCAGTGTGCTCTTCAGATGTGTTGGACTACAACTCCCACAGTCCCCCAGTTAACTATGGTGGGAGTTGTCCAACATATCTGAAGGTCACCAGGTTAGGGAACAGATTATTAAAGGAAAGTAGAGTATAAATACTGGATGCTGCGCTTGTTTAGTTCAGTTTTGTTATTTTGTTTGTTCCTTGTTGCAAGCCATCCTGAGACATCAGTGGATGGACCCCGTACAAAAGTTTTCAATAAATATATGCAAACTGTCAATACTGATCTGGTGCAGCAGAATTGCAACAAGCAGGGGGCAGGTGAAGCATTCAAACCAGGCATTGCACTCCTGAGGGCTTGGCTTTTAAACAATATCCCCCCCCCCACACACACACATACTTCCTTCCACTGGGAACCCCAAAACAGCTTAAATATAAATAGAAGAATGTTAATACGCACACTTCAAAATGCAGCAGCAGAGCCCCACTGCACATGAGGCAAGCAAAGCTGCAGGGCAGAACCTGGCAAGGCTAGTCTGCCCGGATCCCCGGAGCTCCCCGCAGCAGCTCTGCTGGAAGCCATGGAGGAAGGGAGGCCCCACTGCCAGCATGCTGTACGGGGAAGCTGCACAACCGCCCCTCTACCCCAGTGATTTCTACAAACCTCCCCAACTTGGCACCGCACAGATGGAGTGGACTACCATGCCCATCACCTGGCTGGGAAAGGTGCCTCTGTGTCCCAGGCCTCATACCCAGCTTTGCATTCAAGATCACTTTAGCTGGGGATCGCTGTGGAAAGACCCTGCCAGCTCCAGCTGCTGGGCGACTGCCTTGCCTGGCGGCCTCCTGGGGGCGTGCAGTGAAGGGTCTCAGGTGTCCCCTGCACTGGCCAGGGGACTCAGGAGGAGGCAGTGCCCCCCGGGCCTCCCTCTCCCCCAGCCCGTGCCGCACCTTCATGGGTATCCAGAGCAGAGCCGGGAAGTGCTTCCCAAGGCCCTCGGCTGCCCAGGAGGGGCTGCAGCCAGGTCTGCCGTGCAGCCAGCAGAGCAGCCAAGCAGTTGTGGATGCCGCGGCTGGCCTAGGCTACAGGATTCACAGACCTGGCTCCTAAAAGGGGGCAGGGATGGAGGCCTGCCTGTCCCCACCAGGTTGCATGCCTAATCCCCAATTTGCTCTTCCCCCTCCCCGCCAGACGCAGCACCCTCCTCTTGCCTGGAGTACGTTCCAGCCCTCGGCTACCCTCCCACGGCCCCCCTCGGCTCTGCCAGCCGCATGAGTCTACCTTGCAGGGCTGCCAACAAGGGCTGACGGTAGAATGGATGTGAAACGATCCGAATACATGAGATGCCGCTTTCCTCACCATGTGCCCTCTAGGTGTGTTGGACTACAGCTCCCATGGTGATCCTGGCTGGGGCTGATGGGGACGGCTGACCAATGAGTCTGGAGAGCAGCACATTGGGGGAGGCTGCCCTGAGAAGGGGCCGGTCAGCGGCATTCCTCTCGTGCCCTGCCCAAAGCTCCTTGGGGGCGCAGCAGAGGGGGGCGGGAATGGGGGCTATGCTGTCCCTTGGCGCACAATCCGAGGCAGAGCTGGCCTCACAGATGAATCGGACTGTGGGCTGAGCCCGCTCGGCTGGGCCGGGGAGGAGGGCACGGGGGCAGTGGGCGCCCGGGGGGATGTGGGATTCGGCGTCCCTCCATGGCACGCTCCTGGAAGTGGCAAGGCGACCCGCCGGGTCCGGGTGGCCTGACGCGCCAGGCAACCGCGACCTGAACGGGTGGTCTTTGCAAGGGGAACTCCAGAGTGAGCACCATCAGGCGGGGCTGCAGCAGCCAGCAAGGATCTCCAGAGGCTTCCCAAAAGTATCCTCCCCCAGTATCCTTGGGCAGGAGCCTGAGAGCTGAGATCCAGCAGATCTGCGGGCCTTGGGAAGGCGGTCGGCTGGACCAGGCAAATGAGAGGAGGACACGCCAGGAGGTGGCCGCGGGCCTCGCCACGCACCCCAGCTGACCAGAAACACCCCCCCCCCCCATGGCGGGCAGGCGCAGCAGGCGAGGAAAGCTCGCAGCTGAAAGTGCGACCGCCCCCGCCCTTTCCCAGTTGCAGGCACTCCACTGGGACGCCTTGGCAGGGCTCGTGGCAGAGCAAAGCTGAGCCTCCCAGTGCTACTGCAGTCTACCCTGAGCCCAGGGAAAAGGCAGGGCACAGCCTCCTCCTGGGCGGGCGCTCCGCTTCCTCGCGGAGGGGAGCCCAGGCTTGCGGCCACTGCTCGCAAGCGGGCCTGATCCTGCGCCTGTGGAGCGCGGCGGCGGCGGCCCTCCCGGGAGGCGGCTGGGAAAGGCGGCGTGCGTGCGGCCAGCCCGACGCTCGGCACGGAGCCCTCCCTCGCGCCCGGCCCGCCGCCTCCCCGGGGCACCGACCTGGCATGTCCTCCGCGATCCGGCGCTCCTCTGCCCCCCGCCGCTCGGCTCGGCCCGGCGCGGCGCGGCGCGCACGTTGCGCTGCGGAAGGCGAGGCTGCGAAGATGGCCGCTGCGGCGATGGGCTGGGGAGGAGGGGTGGCGCGGGGGGCGCCGCCGGGCGGAGAGGGGGCTGCGGCCGGCCCCTCGCCTCGCCTCGCCTCGCGCCTCCCCGCCCCGATCCAGAGGCGCCGCCGCGGCCGCGCCTCCGCCTGGAGCAGGCTCGCACATGCCCTGGCGCGCGCTGACGTCCAGTCCAGTTGCCGTGGCAACCGCATCCCATCGTTGGGGTACCTGCAGCATCTCTGTGGCTCGCTGTCTCCCGTTTGGGGAGGTGTGGACCGCAAAAGCAAAGCAACAGCCCGCCGCACCCCCAGCAAGAAATCGATTGTGCTCGCTTGGCCCGGCCCGGCCCGGCCCAGGGCGCCCAGGTGCTCAGCGCTAGGGCAGTGGCGAAGCAGCAGAGGTTCCTCCAGGGGCACCACAAAACGAAAGTGAAAGGCATAGATGTGGGGGTGGGGGCTAATGGTTCTCTGCCCTCTAGTCAGGGCACTCTCCCTGAAAAATCTAAGTTTCTAGTCCTGAGTGGTGGCATCGCTGCTTTAAGTGCTCCGTGCGAAGCCCAGCCTTCCTAGCTGAGGCCTCCCTGTCTTGGTGCCACCTCCCTCTCCCCCTTCACAGTGACAAGCCACTGCTACCTGTGATCCCAGGGGTCCCCCTGCCCCCACCCCCCAGTCTTCGTGATGCCTCTGCCTGGGGTCACCTCAGACCAGCCTGCCCAAAGCAGTGTGACAAAAAACCATCTGAGGAGCCAGCCAAGGCCTCCTGCTCCGCATCCTGGTCCCACGCAGCCGGCCCGCTGCCCCAGCAGACACCTGAAGGAAGGACACTGGTGTGGCCCCAGTGAGCAGAGGTGCTCTGCCTCCCAGCCCAGGAGGCCTGCAGGCACCAGGGCAGTCAGCCATGGATAACCGACTCTCCCGTATTAGTGCCACACCTTTATTAGGCCAAGAAGAGGTTGCCCCAGAGATGCACTCTGTTCATTTCATCATGCATTATTCCTGGAGATCTTGGGTGGGGAGGGGGGAGCATGATTCCTTGAAAGGTTGCCCATTGTGGGATGACCTCTCGGCTCTCAACAAAGGTAGTGCACTAATGTGGGCATTGATATATTTTTTTTAACTGTCAGTCTGGTTGCTTTGGCTACAGCTGCGCAACTGTGTGACCTTCTTCCTGAAGCATTTAGACTGTTGACCTCCATAGCATGTTTTTGTATGAGGACTGAAATTCCCATCTCCACCACCAAGGTACATGTCTGTTCTGGTTCTTTCAATGGTTTGTAAATGTTGCTTATTATTAAATATTGTGAAGCAGAGTATCTGAGCATGTGCTCTTTAGCTGCTTCTTCCACAACCACAGAAATCTGGGCTACATTCTCCTTTACTAGGTAGGTGCTTAGCAGGAAAATGTTTCAGCTGCTTATCAGCTTCATTCTGCAGGTAGAAGATTCCAAACACTGCAGGTGGAGCACTTCACAACATGGCTCTGGACTATGAGCAATGTTGCCCAGGAGGCCACCCAGGCCTTCTGTGCAGGATGGCACGTGCGTTTTGCTAAGCTCAGCTCTGCGGATGGTCATCAAGTGGCATGCCACCTAGCTAGATCAAGCGTGATTCCCTGGGCCACCAGAGCTGAAGGGACGTGTACATCGGCCTTTAGCCGGGAAACCTACCACCAAGCCCTGGATCCCAGGAAGAACCTCATAGCAAGGGAGGCCGTGCTATGGAGGGCCCCATCCACCAACTAGCAAAGGAATGGGTGTGGCCAGCTGGCTTCCCTCTCCTGGTCACAACAGCAGCTGGCCCTGAGACTAAGGAAGTGAGAGGAAGGATCCTCTGTGAATGGCCAAAGAACTATGTCGGGTCACGTGTATGCTGAGTACAAGGTAAATCATAGGTTGCTATCTGCAAACTGCACTATGGTTTAACTGTGGCTTCTGAACCGGAACTCAGAAGGGGGATCCATGGTTTATTGTTGGGTTGTTAACTGCGTTGTTCATGGTGACCAACCCACAGTGAAACAATAGCACAGAGTTCACACATCATGACCTTGCCAGCATCCGGGGCGGGGGTGGCTGACTAGCAGGTGAGGCACCGGGACCCAGGCAGACAGGGCATGGCAAGAGCAAGTCCAGTACCCAGTCCAAAAGGTCAGAGCCGGGAGTCAGGGTGTAAGTCAGGTTCGTACAGAAGGCAGCATCGTCGAAAGTAGGCCAAGGGTCAGAGAACCAAGGAAGGCAAGCCAAGTCATGGAAAGCCAGTACCTTGCGGGTCAGGGCAGGAGGAGGTGCAGGCAGCATTCCGGGTCCAGTAGATCAGGAGCACTTTGTCAATGCTGGAAGACCGTCCTTCCCAAGGCAGCTTCTGGGGGGAAGAGCTGGTTCTTATATAGCTCCTTCCCAGGTGGGACTCATGAGAGCCCTGGCAGCTGCGGTGGGCTGGGGACAGAATCCTGCAACTACCAGGGCTGCTCCACTGGCCCTTGGCCAGCAGAGGGAGCCCAGAAGCTGCCTCGCGTCTCGACAGACATCCACTTAATTCATATACTAAGTTCTCACAATATGACAAGCAACAGCTTTTGTTAAACTATCAGTTGTCATTTCAATGTGTTTTGTTCTGTGAGCTGTCACACTAACAAACCATGGTTGGTTAACCCATAGATTAACCCAACAATAAACCATGATTCTCTGCATGGACTACTGTGGTTAATCAATTATGGTTAACAGACAAGCATTAGTACAACTGGGTTTAGAATGTGGAGGGCCAACAATACATGATCCAATTTGCATACATATTTGACTTAAAGATAAATTTCCATTTTCTCAGGAACAGAACTCATTCGTAACCTGGGGACTTTCTTATTAGATTTATATCCTGCCTTATCTCTACAAGAGCTCTGTGAGAGTCTGCGACTGGCCCAAGTCACCCAGTTGGCTCCATGGCCGAGTCCCTGCTCAGTCCCACACTTAACCACTGTACCGCACTGGCTCTTTTGTCCTGTGCATAGCGAGAAAAGCTGGAAGCTGGCTGGGACTTGTGGCAAACACACAACCCAGCTCAAGAAGAAGCCCTTCCGTACAGATTGATGCCTCATCAGAAGACAGCTGCATTTGAGAAGACAAGGGGGTAACAGACATTCACACACCCCTCCCCTGGGTGTGTCTGGAGCCCCAACCAGTGCGAGAGGAGCCCTTGAAACAATTCACCAGCATCCTAAGCAGATATTGATGCAACGAATCCACTGCAGAGGAGCAGAGGGTCCTTGGGTCAGGGCTCACCAAATTCCTACATTCACAAATGTGTGCAGTGCCTATTTAAAATATTTTATTCCCCACTCCACCCCACCCCTCTGCCTGAGACTACGGCAGGAGACGGCAAATACATGGATGTATAAAACCACCCACCCTCATGCCAGAGAGCTCCTGGAGTAGCTTGCCTGCAGTCAGTAAAAGACCATCCTGTTTGCAAACATACCATCAGGGGGAAAGAAAACACTAGTGGAAGGGCCTCCCCTTCCTTCTCAGTGCCATCCTCATGGCTCGCTGGAACAGCTGCTGGTCTCGATACTCGTGTGGCATGACTGCCCCTTTCGCTTAGGCCCTGCCTACCACTGGCAGGCAGACCCTCTAGGGACACTGGGAGTTGTAGTCCAATGTGTGTGGGCAAAGTGTCCAAATGTTTTCGGACTTCATGTGGGCAGTTGAGAGTAGCCCAGGTAACACAGGGATGCCATGCTTCATTCACCCCAACGGCCAAATTTAATTTTGGAGAGGCTGTTGGGGACTGAGTTTTAGCAGGGCAGTTGAAGCTGCAAAGGGTGGGGTCCAAATCATGCCTTAATTTTAGTTTAAAGCTTAGTGCCAGCAACTTAAGTACTAGGAAGAGCATTTTAACAATTTAGAATGGGAAACGGGCTAGAGAAGTTGGCAAACTGCCAAGTGTTTACAAGCTGGGGGAATGGAGAAGGGAGCATGGCTACACGGGGAACCCCGGGGGTATGACCAGAACCCAGGTGCCTGGAGATTCCACCCAGCCCTGTGATGGAGGAATGGTGCTGACAGAGAGAAGCGTGAGATGAAGGGATAACATAGTTTTTTAAAAAGCATTTCGCGTAACACACAATTAACTGGACGGCCATCTGAGATGGAGGGCTTGACTGGGAGTCCTGCACTGAGCAGGGGGTTGGGCCTGAAGGCCTTCACGGCCCCTTCCAGCTCTACTATTCCATCATTCTACAAACTGCCTTCACTGTGGCTATTGGCTTAAATGCCTTTTAATGGGAACCGGACAAATATTTCCATGGAGTGATTTATGGATGGCTGTTGCCTTAGGCGACCAGCAAAACTTTGTTCAGAGGCAGCAGAGAACTTAGAACTGGTTGCTGAAGCATAACACCAGCAAAAGCCATTACGTGCCAGCCCCCAGCGGGGCTCTCAGAGAGCCAGAGACACTACTGGAACCCAGAAACTGAACTAGATGCATTTTGGCAGCAGTGGGTTTGCCAGGGAAGCCAAAGAGGGGGTCCTTGAGCTTTGGGAAGGATGATAACTGAAACTTAACCGTTGCCAGGCTGCTAACACAAATCAAGTTGTCTCAGCTCTTAAAACCACACATTTCACTCTTGCGAGGAATGCAAAAGTCCCAAGACTTATATATCCCCCAGCAGAACAATGCTAGCCTGCTCTCCTGCGTTTTACCCCTGCTCTGCCTTCTCTGTATGAAGTAGCCTAGCCTGATACAGCCTTCCCCTAAACCAGCCATCCTTAACCCGGGACTTGCCAGATGTTTTAGATTTCAAGTCCTATCAGTCCCAGCCAGCAGAGCCAACAGCTGGGGATGCTGGGTGTGGTGGTCCAAACATTGGGAGGGCACCCAACTGGGGAAGCCTGAGTGATCGAAAACAGTCAGGACTTGGGCACAGATAGGCCCACTGCTTCTTGTGGTGTTTCTACATCCTTTTATGAGCAAGGCATAAAAGGATGTGCAGAAGAAAAAATGTTGTAAGAACTTCTACTGCATTTTATTCAAAGAAAATTGAATGTACAAAATATCTCCAGATATCTTTGCATTTAATCTTCCTCCTCCTCCTCCTCCTCATCCTGGTTGATCTGGAAATATCGCAACTCATAGCTTTCTTTGCTGTTGGCAACAACACGCAGCCAGTCACGCAAGTTGTTCTTCTTCAGGTATTTCTTGGTGAGGTACTTCAAGTACCTGGGGAAAGAAGAGAAAGCTGGCAGAAAAACCAACCACAGCAAGGAAGCGATGGCATCAGAGTCAAATGAGAGTAACTCTCTCACATCCTTCCGTATCACCCCTGATAATTCCAGTCAAGACTGTACTAATAAGTTCTCAGTGGGATGCCCTGGGATTACCTGGTGTAGGATACAGCAGCCCAAGATGCAAAAGCAGAGTTGCAGCATCTTAAAGCCAAAGAATTAGCTCCTGGTCACAGATTTTAGCAGTTTATACAAATTCAATTTTCAGTTTTTAAAAGGAATTAGTTTCTAGCACCAACTGTTACTAAAACCTGATCGGAAGGAAGAGGGCAATCCTTGCTGAAATCTCCAAGATCGAGCCCTGGCAGAGCAACAAGGAATGAGGGGGCTAGGCTTCACTGCTGCCTGACAAAACTCATTTCCCCAAGTCACAGCATGAAAACAAAGGAGGAACATCTGGAGAATCCATCTGATTACTAGAATTCTGTGTAGATTTGTTATTACTAGAATTTGAGTAGAATAAATTCTACTAGAATTTATTACTAGAATTCTGCACCTGCACCTGTTGTTGTTTTGAGTATGGGTTTTGTTGTTTTGACTATCGATTGTTTGGTTCTTGTAAGCCATTCTGAGACGCCCCATGTATAGGATGGGATATAAATATTTTAAATAAATAAATATGCTGGTTTGAATGAAGGTGGAAATAAAACTGATCAATGAGGTGCACCAGGCTTAATTTCAGCCCAGGAGCTGGTTTTCCATACTAGACCTGAAGCTTGGACAAAGATCCTTTCACACAGAAATTTACTTCTATTCTTGTCAAGTGTCCTGGCAGGTGCTGCCCAATTTAGGAAGAGAAAGTGCTCTGCTGTTGAATCTCCGGGAGCGAAAGAAGAACATTGCCTGGCACCCCACCAAGGGAAGGTGAAGCCCAGGGGGCTGCGGCACCTCTCAAAGAGTCCCTCTGCTCAGAGCTTCCTTCACGCTTCCAACTGCTGATGGCTCCTTACCTCTTTGAAAAAGGGACCTCTGAGGTCACAGTAATTTTGCTTTTGCTTCTCTCAATGGTTACCACACCTCCACCGAGGTTCCCAGCTTTTCCATTCACTTTGATCCGCTCCTGCAGGAACTGCTCCTGCAAGAATTTGGAAAGGGTTAAAAGTTAACACCAGAGTGTCTTTTAATTATCACTTTTATGCTGTCCCTCCCTGTTTAGGGAAGTTCCAACTGGTATAGAGTTCCCTCCACCAACCCTTCCTGCCCTGTTTTTCCCTTCAAGAACTCTGTGAGGTAGCTTCGGCTGAGAGAACAATCAACCACAAGAACTGAACTGGAGAGATGCAGCTTTCCCAGGTTGTCGTCTGAAAAAACACGCAAGATGGGCCTCTACAGCTGGGAATGCTCATATAAACTGACCTGCTCTGCCAGCTTGGGTTAGAGATTCAAAGGGACGCCCGAAAACCAAGGCAACTGAGGAATGGACTGAACTGCCAAGGGAGATGCCAGTCCTACCTCACAGAGGAGCCTCAGATCAGCCCAGAGCTGTGTCAGCACAGGGGCTCCTGCTTTCAAGGTGTTGCTCCTGCGAACCGTCGCATGCCATGTGCAGCCACCGTGATGCCCAAACAGGCCCGATGTCTCCACAGGAGCCCCTCCAAGTCACACAACGATCACATGGCCTCCAACAAGGGCCAAAAGACTGCAAGAGAGGATCTTCTGTGTGTAGGTACAAAATTTGCTTTCAGTTTCAATTTTGGCTGTCAAATGTGGGAGTCTTTGGGGGGGGGGGGGGGGGATCAAACAGTCTGCTCTAAATTTGGCTTCTCCAGATGTTTGGGACTTCAACTTCAAGCACACTCCAGCATGTCCACTGGTCAGGAATGCTGCACTTATACTCTGAAACATCTGGAGGGAACCAAGTCGAGGGAAGGCTGATGATTTCTGAAATGCAACAGAGAAGTTGGTGTCTGCACTTGGCATGCTCATTCATTAAAGCACCACAACCGGCCAGTTTATGTGCCACATAAAACTGCCTCTATTTGCATATGCAAATTCCATCAGTTGCACTTTAGGTTGCTTTGTAACATTCAAAATAAGACTTTTGATGCTGATTGCAAGTAATAACAATCCAGAGTATGGACTGAGTATGGGTTGTTGTTAGGTGTAATTCATGTACAACTACATGGTTTAACTACAGATTGTTAACCACATTCAACCCAGAAAAAGAACCCATGGTTTATTGTTTGGCTGGGAACTCTGGGTTTGTGGTTAAACCACAGTGCAGGTCTGCATGTAATGACAACCTAGGATTCAATAACAACCCACAGTCAACTTGTTCTCTGAGCTGCCATTGCATGCAAACCTGGTCAACATATCCAGTTTCGCATGGCTCAAAACATACATTTGGGCAGATCAAGAGGCTGCAGCAAGTTCAGAAACAAGTTCCAAGTGGCACATGCAAAAGAAGGAGAGAAGCTTATGCTGCTTTCAGTCTTCTATGCCTTAAGAGTTTCAGCCCTTTAGGATGGAAAAACACATACAAAAAAGCCAGAGAGCCACCAAATAGCCACCTCTCAGGAGAAAGGGGCAAGGTTAACTCAAGAAATGCAAGACAGAGAGACTGGGAAGCAATGGCAGTGAGATTAGGCCTCTAGGCTTGTAACATGACACCTCTGGATCAGATGATGCAAACACATACAGTGCAGAGATGTGGCAGGTTTATTCTGGGGCTAAGGCCCTGGGTTCACAAGAGCCCTTAATCCTTCTGCGTCATACTCGTGTTGCATACTAGCAGATCTACTGCCACAGATTTACAGGACTCAGCATGAAGTTTGACCTAACAGATGGAAAAACAATTCTTGTATAGCCTTATTTTTATTATAATATCCAGTTTTTTGCTGCAAGGAATGCAAGGTGTCTTAGAAACAAAGTGAGGCAGAATGGGTCTCCGGGGCCATCTAGTCTGACCCCCAGATACAGCCAGCTATGCTCATGTAATCCCCAGCATGTGGTTGTCCAATGCTTGCTTGAACACCCTCACTGAGGGGGCTTCCACCACTTCCTGAGGAAGTCCATTTCATAGCCAAGGGATCCTAACCATTAGGAAGTACTTCCTGACATCTGACCTGAAGCCTGGTTCCTTGACCTTTGCCCCATTGGAATGTGACTTGCCATCCACTGCAGGGAAGAAAAGGTCCTGCCCCCACTCCATATGACACCCCCTCACATACCTCTAAGTCACTGAAAGATCCCCTCAGAGTCTCCCCTTCTCCAGGCTGAAAAGACCCCTTTCCCTCAATCTCTCCTCATGTGTCATCCCTCCCAGTCTGGCCACCATTCTTGTGACCTCCGCTGAACCGAACCTCTCCTATAAAGTGGAGCCCAGAACTGGATGCAGGACTCCATTTGTGGGCGCACCAGAGTCGTGCAGAGCAGCATCAACACCTCCCTAGACCTGGAAGCCACACTTCTGGCTATGCATCCAAGGGTGGTGTTTTCCCCCATAACCGCCATGTCACACTGCTGGCTCCTCTTCAGCCTGCAGTCAATCAGCACCCCGAGGTCCCTGTCACAAGTGCTGCTCGCCAGCCACTCGTCCCCCATCCTGTACCTATGGCACCTATTGCTTGCTCTTATCCACTTTGAATGCTATCCTATTGTCCGCTGCCCACTTCCAGAGCCTGCTGCCCAAATCCCTCTGGATCTGGATCCCCACTTTGGTATCATCCACAAGTCAGCAGACTGGTCATCCCCTTTATCATTGATAAAAAGGTTGAACAGAATTGGACCTAGAATTGAGCCCTGGGAGACTCTGCTCATCACTGGCTACACCCTCTGCTTGCAGTCCATCAACCACGTCCTAATCCATCAGGCAGTGCTTCAATCTATCCCAAAGCTCAACAATTTCTCAACCAGGATATCATGTGGCACTTTGTCAAAGGCCTTGCTGAAATCCAGGTAAACCACATCTGCCGAGTCCCCTCCATCTAGCCACCTTGAGACCTTATCATAGAATTCCACAAGGTTTATCTGACAGGACCCGTTTTTACAGAATCCTTGCTGCATGGCTGATCAATCACCTCTCTTCCTTTATCTAGGGTTTCTAGAGCTTTCCCTATTATGAGCCTTTCCATTGTCTTTTCCACAGCAGACGGAAGGTTAACTGGCCTGTAATTCCCCATATTCCCTCTGCCACCCTTTTTGAAGGTTGGAACCACTGATGCCACCCTCCAGTACTCCGGAACTTCTCCTGTTTTCCACAACAAACATTAGAGTATCCCAGACAATTCCTGAAGTAGACTCAGGTGTAGCCTTTCAGGGCCCAGTGGAGCTCCTTGACATCTAAGGAGGTGATTCTAATCTGTGCTCCCATAACCCCAATCTCATCTAGCCCTCCAGGAAGAATTCCCCCAACCCGCTTTGGAAAGAACACAGAAGCAAAATAATTGTTTAACATCTGTGCCTGTTTCCTTACATCAAGTTACCAGATCCCCTCTCACCAGATGTCTCCCCTTCCTCTTCCTATTTACATGAAGGCAGAAGCCCTTTTTGTTGCCCATGACATTCTTCACAGGTTTCAGCTCATAAACAGCTTCAGCCTTGTGAAGAATCCTTCTGCACCATGCCACCTCCTCCTGATATACCCTTTTGTCCTCTTGCCCCATTGTCCAGTGGCCAGTCTTATACAACCCTTCTCTTCCTCATAATGACCCTGGGAACTAGTTTAGAACAGGAGACTGTGACCGGCCTAAAGTCACCCAGTGAGCACCACGGCCGAGAGGGGACTAGAATTGGGATCTCCCAAATCCTGGCCTAATGCTCCAACTGCCACGGCACACTGGCATAGACAGTGGACTTAATTCCGAAACCTTTACCTTCTATGAACACCAGAATCAGCCCACTGATCCAGCGAGCCCACTCTTTCCTCCACTGGCTGACAGAGCTCTCCAGGGTTTCAGGAAGATGTTGCGGATTAAAGCTGGGATTTTCTGCATGCCAAGCTTTCTACTGACTTGACCCACAGGTACAACTAGCACAGCACTGGCTAGCAGCAAGGGCCTGCCCAATTTTCAGACACTAGTCTTTCCATGGCTTACCTGGAGATGTCGGGACCAAACCCAGGAACCTCTCTATGAAAAGCATTTGCTGAAGCACTGAGCTATGACCCTCCCTCCATTTCCAGAAAGGTAGCTTATTGAGAAAGCCATTGGCTACTGTTCAGCCAAAAAATGGGCCGCAAAGCTGTTTTTATAGCAATTTTTAAGCATATGAACTACAATACAATCAAAAACAAAGAAGAAAACAATACAGGAATGCAGCAGTTGCTAGAACTTCCAGAATAAAAACGTGCATTTACAGATTACTAGCTCGAAAGGGTCTAGGCAAACAAAAAGGTCTACCACTGGCGTCAAGAAGGAAACGGGGATGGTACAGGAACAGCCCCCCCAGGGAGGGAAATCCCAAGGCAGAGCAACTGAACAGGCCTTCATCCTGCTTGCCACCTGCCTTACTAACCCACCTGAAGGGCCTCAGAGGATAACCCTCTAGCAAAACCCTGAAGATGTTATTTTAATAGTATTATTACTGATTCTATTTCTATACCACATATATATGATATAGACAGAAGTCCTGTCATTTTACTGTGGCATGAGCTTTTCTGCATTGGCGTCTGCTTTAGCAGATACATAAGCAACAGTTTTATATATCTGACAAAATAAGCTGCAACACAATTGTTCTCTGAAGGTGCCATAGGAGGCTCTGTAGTTTTCCACGTATCTGTTGTCTCCCCAGCCTACATATGGAACTGGCACAACCAAAGGAGACTGCAAGAGTCAGTGCTTTGGGAGCAAAGACCTGTCTGTGTGGAAGATGCAATTCTGTATCATTCTAAGTACAATGACGGCACAGTAAGTTAAAGCAGGGCTACTTCAGCCGATGATCGCAGAATGTTCAGTGCTGCTTGATTTTTTTCTCCCAATATCTCTTACCTGAAGAGAATACACATTCAGTAAGAAAAAGAAACCCTCTTTATCTTTCCCAGCAGAGCAATATTCAGGGCTGTATGAGCCTGAGGGGAAGCCTATTACAAGCATGTGCACAGGCACTTTGCTCAGAGCTGGGCTTTGTAGCAGATCTCGAGATACCCGATGCAAATTATGTCAGAAACATACACTCAAAATTCCCAAGACGTGCCCCCAGTAAAGACAGGGTGTTCCCCGCCAACTCCCTTCAACACATCAACCCAATCAGAATCAAATTACCGTGTCCCTTTAAACAGAGCTCATATGCTATGTGCTGCACAAGGTGCAGATACTCCAGTCGTCAGCGTTAGCACAGGGCTGCCCTGTGCAGAAACACAATGGTTGCACGTGGGCACATGCTGCTGGCGAACGCACAACAACGTGAAACCCCGAAAGCAAGATGCTGGTATCCCTCCACCTCAAGGCGCCCTCAGAGCAGCTGGTTCTATTTGCAATCTGTGTGCGATGGCTTAGCCACACGTCCTCATTTGGCTAGGCCACAGAGCCTAAGCATACAAAGCCACAGTAAAAGTAGAACGTGCCTCCAAGTGTTCAGAACTTACAAAGTTGGCAGCATCCATAATTCCATCTTCTACCGGGTGGGTACAGTCCAGAGTGAATTTCAAGACTTGCTTCTTTTTTTTGCCACCCTTCGTCGGCAGCTTCTTCTGAAAAGGAAAGCACAGTTGTCAAAGAAATGACTGCCCACACATCAGAGTGGAAAGCAAATCAAGCATTAGACCACTTTTCCAAACACAGGGCTCCCTGGCTCTTTTGGGACTGCAGCTCCTATCATTCACAGACAGCACCACAATGAGAGCTGCACTCCAACAAGCCAGAGGGCAACAGGTTGGAGAAGGCTGATTTACCCTAGTGGCAGAGGGTAGGCAAAGGGAACCGGACAGTCCCAATTCCAGACACAGTATAAAATCCATTAAATTATCCCTACAACAGAAGTGTTTCTAGGAGGCCAAGTTTTGCATAAGCTAGTTCCCACTTTACAACAAATTCCCAACATTGGTCAAAAATTACTAGCAGTGGTATGTGCCAACTGATAACTTCTGAACTATGTATGGCTGAGCTGTGGCTCAGGTGGTCCTGGGGCCAGTACTAGTCAACATTTTTACTAATGACTTGGATCAGGGAATGCTGATCAAATTTGCACATGACACAAAATTGGGTGGGATAGCTAATTCCCTGGAAGACAAAAACAACATTCAAAGTGATCTTGCCAGGCTGGAGCACTGGGCTGAAAGCAAGAGAATGAAATTCAACGGGGACAAAAGCCAAATTCTGCATCTAAGAAAAGGGAACCAAAGGGAAATGGGAGATAGTTGGATCAACAATACTACAAGTGACAAGGATCTTGGGACTATCATAACCATCCAGAGAGCTTGGCTAAGGGGTGATACAGAAATGCAGTAAATAAATACATCTCAGGTTGAATATGAGTCAGTGTGATGTGGCTGCAAAGAAGCTAATGCTACATGGGCTGCGCTAAGAAAACAGCTTCCAAATCACATGAGGTACTGGTTCCCTTCTATCCGGCACTAGTTAAGCCCCAGCTCATGTACTATGTCCCGTTCTGGGTACCACACTTCCAAGAAAGATACAGACAAACTAGTAAATGTCCAGAGAAGGGCAACAAGGATGATCTGAGGACTTGAAATAAAGCCCTGTAAGGAAAGATTGAAAGAGCTGGACATGTTTAGCTTTGAGAAGACAGAGCAGAAATATGATAACGTCTTCCAAATACTTGTCACATTCAGGAGGGCCAGAATCTCTTCTCAACCATCCTAGAGAGCAGGACATTAAATAATGGGCTTAAGTTGCAGGAAGCCAAATTCCAGCTATAGATCAGGAGAAACTTCCTGACTGTTAGAGTAGTCCAGCCATGGGTCCAATGATTTAGGGAGGCTTTGAGCTATCCTAAACTGGAGGCATTCACGAGGTGGTTGGACAGTCATCTGTCAGGGATGCTTTAACACGGATTCAGTGGCTTATCGGTCTCTTCCAAATCTACTATTCTAGGATTCATACAGCATTTTAGCTTTATCTTGTTTCAGTGCATCACTAACCAACACTGCTCAACTGCTCCCAAATAGCTCCTCCTGCAAGCAAGAAATGCTGCAGAGTCTCCCTATCCATGATTTACAGGGATATGCAAACTGAAACCTCAGAGTCATAAGCCATGGTGTTTTATCAGCATACGCTTTGCCTGGGAAGAAACAAGCTGGTATTCCCACTATGGGCAGCACAGTAAATAAGGTACCACAAGAAAGCCTACAGTTTGATTGAGCAGCATGTAGCAAGCAGCACACTTGTCTCCACTCTGGGCCCTGCCCACAAAGCCACTGTGAACTGCTTTTATGTTCCAGCAAGAAAGCCATCTAAAATACATATGAGATGTTTAAAAACCATAGCAATGAAGTCCCAGAAGAGAGGGCATACATGAAATATAGTAAATAAGCCAAGGATATGAAGTGGGTAGGGCTGATGGGAATTGCTGCTCCCAGCATGCCTAGCCAGCATAACCACTCCTAAGAAGTGAAAGGTGCGGCCACACGTTCCCCATAACTGAAATAAGCAACCAGCTTCCAAACTTCTGTCACATTCTTGCATGACCAAGAAACAGAATCCAGGATGGGACCATAGAGAATGGATTAGGACAGGTTTACTGCTCTCCTGCTTCTGCCTTATCCCATGCAAGCGACTGGATACAACTCAATCCCACACAAAGCAATAAAACTGAGGATGCTGTGAGTGATAACCAAAAATACACCTCTAGTTATGGCCTTAGACTCAGATACAGGCTGCCCACCAAAGCATAACAGTAAGCCACAGGACTGCAAAGGCTGTTGCACTTGCATGTTATATTCTTATGTATCTATACCACCCAGGAGCCAAAGTTCTCTGGACAGTTCACAACACACCCTGAACACCTTGATTTGCACCCAAAAGAATACAAAATAAAAAAGAGTGAGGGTATTCTATACCCTCGCTGAAAAATATCATGCGGTGCACTCATGGACAAAATTCAACACACAATCAAAATATCCCGCCAGTGGGCTGGGGTGCATGCTGGGTATTTGAATATTCAATGCCTGTACATTGGTCTGGGATGTGAAAAAGCTGACTTTACATAAGAATGTCAGAAGTGGATTCATACACTGAGGGCAAGTGTGGTGTTGTGATTGAGAATGTGCAACTAGGTCTCAGGCAGTAAGTTCTGGTCCCTGCTTGGCCATGGAGGCAACTGGATGACTTTGGGCCAGTCACAGACTCTCAGCCCAACCTACCTCACAGGATTGTTGTTGTGAGAATAACATTGAAAGCAGAAAGAGAAGAATGGTGCAAGCTTGTTACTTTTTTTTAAAGGCAGATATAAATCTATTAATAAATAAAATGCAGGGGCTGGTGCAGAAAGCCAATGCTGCTGACACTGACTGGCTACAGCAGTGGCTCGCCTGGGTGTCAGACAGAATTGCTCCTTGGAGGCATTGCCGGGGATCAAAGGTGGGGACTCCTCAAGCAAAGCAAGCGCTCTGATGCGTATTATGCCCGTCACGTTAATGGAAGGCAGATTCGGGGAAAGCCTCCCCTCAGCCCTCTTAGCCTTACCAGGTGGGCACAAGAAACTCAGGAGCAGGCCGCGGCGACACTTAACTTAAGCCCCGCTCCTCCCGCCTGCTTGGCCGCCTCCTCCGCAAGCCAAACCCGAGGACTGCAGCTAGGCTGTCCTCTGCACATGCTTAGAGACCCGTGGCGAAAACAAGCACTTCGGGAGCCTTCCCGGCAACCTGCAAGCTCGCAAGCACGCGGGGGGGACAGGTCTGCCTGAAAGATCTGGCTGGCACCGCCCCCCCACAGGGGAAAGGGAGCCAGAGGCGGGTGCCTGGTACGGAGGCGGCGAGGCCTACTCGAAAAGGAATGGTGGCCGCTTCCAGGACGCCCCCCGGCCCTTCTGACATCGCTCTCGCCCCCCCCGTGCCGCCGCGGCCCCGCGCGCACGCGGCCTCCCCGACTTCCCGGGCCCAACCCGGCCGGAGACTCACCGCAGGCGCCATGGCGGCGGCAACGAGGAGCTAGAGAAAGGAAGAGCGGCTGCGCGCATGCGCCGATTAGTCCCGCCCACTCCCCTTACTTCCGGCTGCCCGCATACCTTCGGACGGCTGCATACGCGCGTGCGCTTTTCCTTCACAAGGGGAAACCATAGAGAAAGAAATAGACGGAGCGATTACTTCCTTCCTGTGCCTTGTCGCCTCTCCCCGGCCGAGCACCGAGACTATCGATGAGAGAGATTGACCGCTCCTTGCCCCCAACCTGACTGAGCGCTTTGGCGTGGAGCACTCTGGGACTTGTAGTGTGGAAGCGAGGGGAAGCCGCGTGGGCGCTGTCCTGGCAGCATTTACACCCGGAAAAAGCCTACTGCTCGGCCAGCCTTCTAAGATAACCGTTCAGGACGCTAACAAATTTATTCATTCGTGCTATCCCTATCCCGAGTTTTTTCCTGCAAGGAACTGTTGGGAAAATTTGGAGAAATCCTGGCAGAAAAACGTTGCTTATATGTGCTTTTGTGTTATAAAATGAAACCTGCACTCTTTCGCACAAAGCACAGCTTTCCAAGCCAGATCACTGTTTAATATTGCTGTTGCCTTAAGAAAATGGCACTCCTTCCTCTACCCTCTTTCACTCTTCTCTCCTCTAGCTGTAAGCCAGAACAGACAGGCCATTCAGTTGAATACACAATCATCCCTACAATGTTGCTGCAGGAATTCACAGTTTACCAAGAAGCATTTAGTTAGCAAGCCTAGAGCGCTTCCTGGGATATAGGGATATAGGCAATCAGAAAGGTGCAAATCTGTTACTCAGGGTCTAAACCTTCCTGATAACAGAATGCAACAGATTTGTGTATGATTTCATGAATGGTTTCTCAATAGCCTGAATTTACATTTTTAAGCAGACCCTGAGATGCACAGTACCCAGGAAGCGTGGGGCTTTCAGAATCTTGACTTACTACCCTATGCACACCTCTACATGAAGTTGTAGGATGGTGTAGACGGTCATGGGTGGCATCTGTGGGGTTGTCACAGAAGCGCTTGGTATTTTTGTGTAAAACAGCATGGTCAACCCTGATTCCAGTTTAAATTGGCCCCAGAGGGCTAATTTGACTGGAATTGGCAGCAGCAACTGTGAAAGCAGCTGATGGAAATACATCCTAAGCAGATGGAATACTGGTTGGTTTGGACCAAGCTGGCAGAGGAGAAAAAGCTAGCTAATATTGTATTGGTGAACCAGGAAAGATCTACACATGTGAGTACATGTGTGCACTGTGGTTTATGGAAAGTCTTATGTTCATTGTTTGTGTGTTCTGTCTTGTCTGTTTGTGTTTTAAAGTGTTCCCCTTTCTGGGAGGTAGGCATAGCTCAGAGAGTGTTTTGGAGGTTCCACAAACAACACTAACCATTACACCAGGGGTCCTCAAACTTTTTCACCAGGGGGCCAGTTGAAAGGTGCTGGTGCTGGGCACAGGCCGGAAAGGTGGTGCCGGCGGTGCGTGCGGGCTGGGGCAGGGGCAGTGCGTGCAGGCACGTGTGCTGAGGCGGGGGGCGGGGTGTGTGGCAAGGGGAGGTGAGGCGAGGCAGGGGCAGGCATGTGCTGCAAGGCAGGTGCATGAGGGAGTGACTTGCTCGCTTAGAGATTGTTTTCTCCGAGTGAGCAAACCGCTGCCTCCCCGCGCATGGGATGAGGTGGGTGGCAGCAGGTGCGCGGCAGCAGGTGCGCGAGCGGCGGATCCAAATGGGCATGGCGGGCCAGATGGGGCCCCTGGGTCGTAGTTTGAGGACCCATGCATTACAGTGATGTCAATCATCAGTTAATTATTGTAATTTGTGGCCTGCAGTTCTAGGGTGCTTCTTCCTGGGAAGGTTCTACACTTGGATGTTTTCTTTCCTTGTAGGAGGTGACCAGAGTAAGGGAGGGAATTGTAAGAAACTGAGGTTCTGGAGGTAGTTGGTGGGATGTAGTCTGTGCTGAAGAAGCTGCTGGGATGTGTCCATGCGTGCAGGAGATAGTCAGGACAAAATGAGCAAAAGCTTTGCCATAATAGGGCTGCTAAAAGCCTGACTGAGAGCAGTCCTTGGGGGAACACCTCATACATGCCTATAGTTTCTTTCTATATTGTCTTGTCCTAACTCCATTCCACCTTTTGCTTTATGCTCATGTGCCTCCAGAAAAATGCCTTCGTGATGTCCCATCCCCCTCCGAACTATGCATATATCTGCAGGTTAAAAAGCATCTTGTACAGGCTCCATCTGGGTAGTCCCTTCAGGGGCAGCCTACATGCTGTGTCTATTTCCTATGTGTCTGAAGAAACTGTGAATGTTCCTCCAGTGGGGTGTCTATTTATGTTTTTTGCCTTGGTGTTGTACCAGCTCCCTGAGTTGAGAGACTGTGGAGAATAAATTGAGTTTCTATTGAAGCAGAGAAGTGTTATCAGTCTCTTTACTTCCTCCTCCTGCTCTCAACTAGGTGAGCCAAAACAGGAGGGTGTTGCCCATGCCAAGTACGCCTTCCAAAGAGACAACCCCCCACCCCCGGAATACAGGAAAGTAGGTGCAGGCCAGGCCAGCCCAGCTAGATAATATGAAAATCAGCGTGGGACGGAAAGTGCTGGAGGCATCTGCTGAGGCATGGGAAGCCACCTATCCTGCCATGATAGCCCTTTGAAGACCACGTTAAGGAGAAGACTTAAGGAAGGCATGGAGCCGATGGCTGCTGAACAGCCCAGCTGGACCAGAGCAAGGCTTGGTCTCTCATTATCTGCTCTGTTTGCTCTTGATCTCTGCAGAATGTTTTCTTGGAGCCATGCTGGTCTCTTGGCCTCCATGGAGGCCACTTGAGCCCCTAAGGGATGAGGTAAGTTGGTGGGGCATGAGGAACCATGGGGGAAAGGGCAGGAGGGAGCCAACTAGCCACGGAAAGGGAGGGGTTGCCCCATTAGTCAGACCTCCCTCTGGTCAACCTTTGCATTAGCAAAGAGGAGTCAGGGTCTCACAGTGACCATTTCTGGCACTTCCTCCAGCTCTGTGGCTGTACAGCTGTGCCTTCCCATCTGCCAGAGCAAGCCTTCCAAGAAGAGGTGGAAAAGGGTGTTCACCCCAAGCCTCATCACTATGGTCAGCAAGGCAGAAGATTTAAAGCTGCCCATGGGAAGAGATACACATATGAGGATGGTGCTGGTGATTGAGAGGCAGAGAGGGAACAGGCAGGTGGCCCTGGAATTAAAGTGGGGAAAAGAGTTAAATGAAACGAGGGCGCAGCTGCCTGGAATCCAGTTGCAAGGATGGAGAATGGGCTGGGGTTCTGCAGCGCCCAACAGCAAGGAGACACCAACAAAGTCTGGGCAGCGCCCTTTTCCTTGTGCCTCCTTTCGGGCAGGGTAGGGCTGGTAGAAGCCTGCGCCTTCCTTCAAGCAAGCAGCCCTGTGTTCTCATTGTTCAGTTCTACACTCAGAGTGGGGCTTTTCGGGTACAGGGCCCAGGTGTGGTGAATCAGAAACTCAGTTGCTTCCAGGCTCTTTCCGTAAGGAGGATGCTGGCGAGTTGTGTTTTCTGCCGTGAGGCGATGAACTGGCAGGCCCCAGTGACAGGAATGAAGGCCAAATCAAAGTCCCTATAAGCAAGGCGTTTTCTTCCCCATGAAGATGAGCACCCTGAACTGAGGGAGCTGCAAAGCTTTAACGCTGAGTAGACCCATGAAGAACATGTTTGAAGGGAAGAGCGTGTTTTCCCCATCAGCAAGCTCCCTGAAATTCCAGGAAGGAAGAAAATGGCCAAGCATCCTCTAGTTGTGGATGGTGTAAAGTCCTTGTCAGAGCAGTGCAGCTAACACTGACGTTCAAGGGAAAACGCAAGCTTTCCCCTCAGGTCAAGCAAGCCCCCCTCTGTTGTCTCATTGTACAGTTCTGTTCTCATACTGTGGCTTTAGGGTACGGGGTCAGAGATGTGATGACTTGTAAACCCAGTTGCGTCCAGCCCTTTCAGTAAGGGGGATGTCCACAGATGGTCTCTGTGCAAAGTGAAGCATTGGACTGGCAGCCCCCTTTGACAGGAATGAAAGCCAAGTCAAACTCACTAAAAGAGACGTGTTTTCGTCCACATTAAGATGAGCGCCCTGAAGTAAGGAAGCTGCAAAGCTCTTACGTGGAGTAGACCCATGAACGTGTGTGAATGGAATGTCTGTTTGCGCCATCAATTGAATTAGTTATAAGCATGCAGACATAAGTTGATGAATATTAACTCACACACCCTGAATAGACAATGAGCTAATTATAATGCACATGCAATGTATGTAGGTGTATGTAATGGGACGAGACAGGAATTGCATGAAGTAGGCAGCTGGAAAGGCTGTGAACCTCCAGTCGCCAGCAAAGGGGGAAAAGGGGAGGCTTCTTGCAGATGGAGATAGAGAATAAGAAAAATGGTGTGCATGCTCTGTGGGACACCCGCCATTGCCACTGCGATAATAAATTCAGTGCTGCTTGAATTCGTGTCATGAATTTATTTCCTTTAGGAACAAAGTAAGAGTCACAGAAGAAAGAACAGGGTGGCAGTGGCACAGATAGAATGAAAGCAGATTTTCCTCGAAAATACAGTGGTTCTGATAGTCTTCCCCAGAAAACTCACTTTCTGAGCTAGGGCACACCAATGCCAGGAAGGGGTGCAGTTGAGACAAACCGCTTCTTGGTCAGAATTCAATGGCACACAAGCAACGGTGTACACTGCTAAAACCTACACGAGGCAGGACGAACAGCATTCCCATTTTACGTTAACTCAGGCTTGCTCTGATCACAGAAACCCTTTACCCTGTTTTGTTTGAATGCCTTTACATGCGAAAAATATGCCCACATCCTATCCACAGGGTAGTGGGATTGTGTTAGGGAATCATTCACTCTTGCCGTCATCGTAACTGAATTCTACATGTTGAAATGAGTTCGCTTTCACTCTGACAATGTTGAGCAGTATTGTCATGGTACTGAATGGGATTGCCAGTCCCTCAGCACTCACTGTTAATGGGTCTACTCTGAGTAAGACCTTCACAGCACCAACCATTTGGAGTGCTCCTTCCAGTGTGGTAGAAGAGAGTTTCTGATTGGGTTCATTCCTGACATTTAGGTGTGCTCATCTGAACTTATGAGAAAGCTTTCGAGTCAAACTCAGTGGTAATGGATCTACTCTGAGTAAGCTTGACAAAGACAGGCAATCTGACTTTTTGACAAGCTCCAGATGCCAGGAATGAAAGTCATCTGAAGTGATCTCTTTCCTACAACACTGAGATGAACGCTTTGAATTGTGGTTGCTGCTGTTACTCTGGGTTGGCAGTGGTAAAAAAAGGCACAAGATCCCCTGGGAAGAACTTATCTCAGGCACTAAATGATTTTGTCTAAAAATAGACAAAACCCTATGGGGAAACATGAAGACAGAATACTGAGTCATGCCATTTCATGACAATCAGCACCAGAAAGATGGAGACTAGTCTGCTGAGTCATGACTTTCTGTGCCACTCTGCGCTTTTTTCAAATCAACCCATTGAAGTAGGGCTAATTCACAGCATGTAGAAAATCAAAATAAACAGCATCTTACAGCTATCAGAAGTGTGGTTTTGGGTGAGATGGTTAGGGGATAATCCATTGCTGAGCCAGTGATAGCCCATGCCCAGCCCTTCAGTGTGGATCATCTTGTCAACTTAACTGGCAGCTGGCCCAGCACATGGGGGAGCGCTGAGAGCCCTGCACATGCAGCTGCCTCTGCCAGGGGCACCCTGAGCCTCTCCAATTGGAAGTCCGTTCTGCTTTCCAGACGCACCCCATTGCTGGAAAGCGAACCTCCTTGGATCTCATCCTCTACTGGGATCTTATCTATTGGATGACCTTATGCCTGATTGCTGGAGGGGAGTTCTATCACAGAAGCCATCCGGTATCGGAACGGCTGTCCAGCCCAAGGATGCTTTTAAGCTGTGTGGCCCCTGGAGAAGGCTGAGAGCCCTGCTGTGGGAATTCAGAGGTCTCTCCCTAGATGGTGGACTAAGGCACATGGGCTTCCTCTCCTCGACTGTAGCAAAATGCTCTGCATTCCCAAGCAGATGATAGATATTCTTTCTATATTTGCATCCGCATCTATATATTAGTACAGCAGTACCGCCGTCTCTGTGCAGGAGAGGTTCCAAGTCTCCCAGCAGATGACCAAAACTGCGGATCGTAGCAAACACCATATGCAGTTGAACCTTGACTTTCGCAGGTTTAACTTTCATGGATTTGATTATTTGTGAGTTCACCATCAATAATTAGATGGGATTGTTTTTAGGGTTTTGCGACCAACTGTGCCACAAATGGGTACCAGGGGCGGCGAGAGGGAGAAGACCTGAACGAGTGGCACTGGGTCTCTCCAGAGGCAGCTGTGCAGGGAAGGCTTCCTGCCACCACAGCTGGCCTGGAATGGTGTGCCAGCCCCTAACAAGGGCAGGGCAAGGGCCAAACTCAGGATCGGGCATGCTGTAATGCACAAAGCTCACAATTCAGGTCTGGGTTTTGCTCCAGCTCATTGGGTCTTGTTTTTAGACCATGGTCAACCATGGCTAGTGAAACCAGAGTTGCTGAACCTTTCACACCATGGGTCCTCAAACTATGGCCTACGGGCTGGATACTGCCCGCCATGCCCATTAATCATGCCCATTAATCATGCGTGCGGCAAGGTGCCGGCTTGCTCACAAGATTGTTTTCGACACGTTGGGAGAAAATGATCTCTGCGCATGCACCCGCCCCCAGCCCGGCCCGCGCCCCCTGCCGGCACCGCCTTGGCAGCCCATGCCCATCCCTGGCACCTTTCAACTGGCCCACTAGTCAAAAAGTTTTGAGGACCACTGTTTCACACCATGAACCCCATCTCTCCCAGGCTGGTCCCACGGCTTCATTGGAACACCTGAGTGCAGCATCCTTGCCTGTCTGAGAGTCCTGGGAAGGAAAGCATACAGCTTTCGGTTGGGTACTCAGGGCTCACGGACTGGTTGCCTGTCTTGCCATGAACCAATGGCTGAACTCCTCCCCTTTTCCTTTTAGGCATCCAAAGCTTTCTCCCCTTCATCCACTAGGGATGAATTTCACAGGGATAAGCAAGCCTCCACTTAACTTACTCGTATTTCAACAGATATCAACGGGAATTAGAGAGGTCTAACTTTTCTGAGGTATTTATTTAAAATATTTATATGCCATCCTATTTGCAAAAAAGCCTCAGGACGGCTCACAACGCAAAACGTAACATAAACAACATAAATAACATAAATAAAATTCCCCACCTACACTGGCTGCGATTAAAAACATAGAAAAGACAATATTAAAACTTATTAAAATACCGCTGGAATAAAAAAGTCTTAATCTTGCGCCGAAAAACAAATAACAACAGCACCAGGTGGACCTCTCTGGGAAGCGCATTCCATGGGGCACCACCGCAGAGAAGGCCCTCCTCCAGGTACTTTGCCTCCTAATTATCTTTCACAGAGGGTTCCCGGAGGAGGGCCTCTGCTGCCGATCTCAAGGGGCGGGAGGGCAAATATGGAAGAAGGCGTTCCTTCAGGTATCCAGGTCCCAAGCTGTTAAGGGCTTTATAGGTAATAACCAGCACCTTGAATTGAGCCCAGACTTCGATGGGAAGCCAGTGAAGCTGGTAGAGGACTGGGGTTATGCGAGAATAATGCCCAGGCCCCGTCAGCAACCTGGTTGCTCTGTTTTGCACCAGGTGAAGTATCCCAGTACATCTTTCCTTGTCCTTCCTATGGAGTTTACATCCTTAGATGATTGTATCCCATTGGTTTTCTTCATTCTACCAGGTTATCCTAAGGTCCATTATACCTAGCTTTCCTTTTACAACCAGGCACTGCAGGTCCTATTTTGGCCTTGAGGCTTCTACTGATTGCATAGAAACACCAAAGAATGGCATCCTTTTCCGGACTCATGTGAGTTCTGCTTTGTCATTTGATCTCCTCCAACTGGTTATCATGTCTCACCATGCATAGGATTACCCCCTTAAGGTTTTTATTAATTGTGGACACCTTCGTGGCTTTAAAAATGTTAATGATGTAAACAAATCATTTATGTAATAATACAAGTTAATGATAAGTAGGTGAATAAACAGGGCCCCACTGGAAGTAGGCAGAACTAGGCCTCGGCCTCCCTCCCAGGCCTTTCTCTGTGGAGGCCCCCATCAGCGGAACACCCCCCCCCCCCCCCCCCCCCCCCCCCCTTTCTTTGGGGCCCCCCCCCTCGGGACCCCCCCCCCCCCCCCGCGGTCCACCCCGGTGTCTTGGTGCCGCCAGGCTGGGGCTGCCTTTCCCGCCGAAGCCTATCAAGACTTGCTTGGAGGGCAGCTGCTGAGGGGATTCCGTGCCCAGCTAGTCTTTGTGCTTGCGGCTGGGTTAGGTAGGCTTTTTAACGTCTCTCCGACTTTCCACCCGCACTGCCTGCCATTGCCCGCCTCACGGATCGCTGGAGGCCTCGCACTGGCCGCGGGTCGGCGCAGCGATGACATAAATAAGCGGCAGCCCAAGCGGCGCCTTGCCCCGCGCCCCGCCCGAGGGCAGCCCGCGCCCGCGCCCGCGCCCGCCGCCGCGCGTGCACCTTCGCAGGTGTCACGTGGCCGAGGGCGGGCGCTCCGGCTGGAGCCGGCCCGGCGTTGCCAGGGCGGCGGCCAATGGGGAGCGAGCGGGTGGGCGGGAGCGGAAGGCGCGCGGCGCGCGGCGCGGAGCCAATCGCGGCAGGCCCCTCCCCGTCTGTCATCCGGGCGGCCTGCCGGTTCCCCTCGCCGCCTCGTCTTCCCCAGCGTCGCTTGTCCTCGCCGCCGTCCTCATGCAGCCCGCCGGGGGCCCCGCCAGCGAGGGAGCCGCCTATGGCCCGTCCGCCGGGCCGGCCGCCATCCAGATCAGCAGGTAGCGCCGCGCCTCTGGGCATGTGCAGAGTAGCGGAGGCGTGCCCCTGGGCGTGGGCAGAGTCCTGGGGATGGAGGGCGTGCCTCTGGGCCGGCGAAGACTGCGGGGGGCATCCCTCTAGGTGTGGGCAGAGTATTCCTCTGGGCATGGACAGAGGACCCTGGGAAGGAAATTTTTCACCTGGGGACGGGTAGAACTCCGTCTGCTCTTCTGGAAGGTACTTTAGGGCACCTGCTCTTTTGAAGGACAGATATCCCTGTCTTGTTGCCAGATGACCATGCACAGATGACTGTGCTAAAAATATGCAGTGATATAACAATGAATTAAAAAGAGAGCTAAATGGAGGAAAAGTAGGAAGCAAGCAAAGTGCCCCCGAACCACACGTACAGTCTGTTGAGGAGGAAGCTAGAACAGCAGCACAATGCAGGCAGTGTCTTCCTCAAAAAGTGGAAACCATGAAAAATCAAGAACATGGCCCTTGTGGCATCATCTCAAAGTCTTCTCACGAGAGGCAGCTTTTCTCCCAAACATTTCATAGTCTTGGTACCCTGCTCAAAAAGGCTCTGCTCCAATTTACAGTGATGAGAGAAACTGCACTGCTACGAGGTGCTCTTCTCCCATACTTTCACCTGTTCCAAGGTGGTTCTTAATTGCACCACCTGAGGTGCCTGACAGTGAGGAACAAATCATGGTGAGCATGGAGCATGGTGAGAACATGCTTTCTCGTTTGGGGCACTGACTGGTGGGGTGCTGGCAATCCTGAGACACTTCCATGTTGATATTTACTATATCTTTATATTTGCTGTTAATATATATGGTATGTTGTGGTATTGGTGCAATAGACACAAAGTCAAATAAGCAAAAGGGACCTTCTAATAGTAATTGGGGGTGTGGGGAGCAAAAGGAAGAAGGAGTTAAAAAACAACTTGGTAGGTTGGAAGAGAAGAAGGCTCTTGCTTCACAGCTTGTATTCATGTGGGTTTTGGAGGGTGAGGTGCAGTTGGGATTTAGAGCATATGGCTCAGATGGTGACAAAGTAACATACTCTCTGCAGTATAAAATGTTGCTTTGTGGCAGTGGGAAAGTCTTGTAGCCCCTTAAACAAGGTCTTATTCTGGTGAAAAATCCTGCTTTTTCTTTTTCTTAGTTTTTCTAACTAAGATGACCCATACTTAGAGTCATGTAAACTAAGATGACCCTAAATATGGGTCATCTTAGTTTCCATTATATCACTTGCTGTTCTTGCTAGCAAGGACTAATGGAACTGTTTTGCAGGATACTGGGGTGTTCAGCCTTCACTCCACACTTTGTCTGTGTTCAATAAGCAAAACAAGGCAAAAGAGTGGGAAGGCCAGACTGCAGGTACTTTACAGGATATTTCTGTGGACATATTCAACTAGCACCCCTTTTTGGCCCAGGCTGTTTCAAGTTAATTTTTAAGTGGTTTTATGTGGGTTATTGAGGTTTAAACTCCACTGTTACAGTGATGAGAGGCACTCCTTTGGGTGTGGTGGTGAATAACCTTACCAGGTTTCATGTGCTCTCATGGGGAAAGGCTGGATAGGACAGCTTCCTGCCTGCTGAAGGTCCTACGTTGAAAGAGTCTTGTCTGAGGCACCTAAGAGCCAAATGCACATCAATGTAGACAATGTTCAGATGGCTGGTCCTTGCAAGGAAGCTTCTGATATGCCCAGCTTGCTGGATGAGAGCCAGTACATTCCATTCCTTGCACCTTTTTATCCATTTAGCTGTTGCTTCAATTGCAGCTCTCAAGGAAAGTAGGAAGGGAGCTGTCCAATCCTACCCATCCCGACGACACCCACCGTAGGTTACTGCAATGCACTACAACTCCAAAAACTGCTTGAAAACTCCCTTTCAGGACACAGCAGCAAAGCCGTCAGTCAGTCAGTAGCGCTCTGCTGCTGGGCTAAATTCAAAGTACTGCTTTCAGATAAGAGGCCTAGAGATTACGCAGCATGGGCCTGGGGGAACTTGAAGTTCCACCTGCCCAATTACTGAGCCTTTTGGAGGCACTTCTAGTTCCTGAGAGAGTGGGTGACGCAGGGGCAGGGCCCTTGCTTTAGCTGAAGTCTCTCTTCCCGGGAATGCTCTCGTCTTCCTCATGCACCAGTGTTCTTGCTGAGGGTTATCAGGTGACAGGTGAAGCTAGGTGCTAATGTTATCTTAATTAGCCTAGGAAATAAGCTCACAAATGTTATTAGCCTGGTACTGTTGTATTAGCCTGCTCAGGGCTGGTGGAGGAGTGATGGAAAGCTGCGTAGGCCTTCTGTGCTGGGAATGGAGGTGGGGCTTCCCTCCTCTAGTGGTGGTGTTTGAGTCTGCACCCCAACCCTCTTCTGACAGTCTGCTCCACTCCCAGCCTGCTTGCTTTTGCTGCCTTGACAAAGCCAGTACACCGTGCTTACTGCCATGTGGATGGTGAATGCATTTTATGCAATACTTTATGGCCTGAGGCACCACTTGTTTGCTGTGGGTGTTTGTTTGTAGCAGCACCAACCTGCTTCTTCAAGGGCTGGGCTGGGCTGTAGTGACAGGCATTTGGTTTGAAGTTGACCTTGTCTGGGAGAAACACACAGACCTGAGTCTTTCTTTGGAGGTTGATTGTTGCCAAGGGTGTGACGCACCTCTCTGGCTTATCCCCCCCTTGTTATTTTTTGAAAACAGACAAGCTTGGAGTTGCTGAGTTTCAATGTGACAATAAGCTTCCATTGATCTGTCCTACTGCTGCCAATGTACTATGCCTGCACGGGGACATTTTTTCAAGTAGATTTAAGATATTGTTAGTAGTTCGAGGGGAAGAATCTCCTGATGTACCCCATCAGTAGAGTAGCTGATATCCATGGAGCACGCAGCTGGAAATTGCAAATTGGCTCAGGTGTTGTCTTCCCTTGGTATGTCAGCAATAAGCAAGGGAGAACAATTTACGCTCTCTGGCTGGCTCCTTTAGCCCACAGGGCATTCTAATCTACATGCTCCCTTGGGTGGGTTTTTACACCCAAGGCACTTAAGACTTCTGAGCAGAGCTGGCTGTTTTTTCTGTAAATCAGCTGTGCTCTTTGTTGTGCTGTTTTTGTGCTGTTGGAGGTTTGTGCAGGCTAAGTAAAAAAAATAAGTCCATCTGGGTTTGTATTCATAAATATCTCTTTGGGCTTCTATAATGGTTAATTTTGATAGCTACTGGAAGCTGTTTTTTAGACAACCAAGCAAAGATCATGTGTAACCAGCATGCATCTGTGTTCTCATGTCCTTGATTTGGTTTTCATGAGTATTGATTTCTGGGAAAACTCAGCCTTTTCCACCTCTGGTATCACTTTGCAGACTGCTTCACCAGCAGTGAAAAAGAATCTCATTACAACAGAGTTGGAGGAAGTGAACAGCTGGATTTGCACAATCAAGGGTCATAGTCTGACTTGGTAATGGGCATTGCGCTTAAGGGCTCTTGACAGAGTTCCTCTCTCTAAGCTCAGGGCTGCTTTGCATCTATTCTTTGGGTCCTCAGTACCAAACCTAGCTTTGTTCCCATGTGATGTGCGGGCATTTGGCTACCTATAAATAGAATTGGAGTGACTGCAACATGGAAAAAGTGCTTTAAAATATAGTGCTAATAGAAAAGATTTTTTACTCTTCCACTTCCATTTTTAGCACTTTCCAGATTTGTTGGACTGCATCTACCAGCATCTCCAGGCAGTAGTCCTAGGGTTATGCTGCCAGGGATGATGGGAGCTACAGTCCAAGACCCCAGTTTGGGGAAGGTGGACACGATGGATTTCAGCTAATGACTCCATACCAACGGAGGAATTCTTGATGTCTCCAGGGTGATCAGAATGTTGAACGCGCGCCTTAAGGCTTCTGTGCCTCCTTCCTTGCCAAGCTTTTATCCACTCATCTCAGGCTGGTGCCATCTTTGCTCATGCAAATGTTGGATGCAGCCCTGCCTACCTTTCACATGAGTGTTAGATCAGAAACAGTGTGGCTCTCATGTGGGAAAAGGTTCCTTATGCTGACCTGTGCTTATGACCTTACCATGTCACTAACTTTGCACTACAACTAGCATCCAACTACAGTTAAAAGTGGATTTCAGTCTCTGGTTTTGAGCTAGCCATAGTGTCAGAGAGGGATGGAAGGGAAAACGCGCAAGAGAGGCAAGGAGAAACCTGGTGGGGATGGGAAGTCAGCTTACCGCTCAGGCATTTGTGGCCTGAGGCGCCACTTGTCTGCTGTGGGTGCTGGTTTGTTGCAGCACCAACCTGCTTCTTCAAGGGCTGGGCTGTAGTGACAGGCACATAGTTTGAATAAGAAGCATCAATATCCTGTGAACCTTTGTGCTGGACGTGCTCGAAAAACTGGACTGCTGCCTGCTTAACATGACTGCCATTAAATCCATGTTGGGAATTTTCTGGAAAAGAATTGAGTAATTGGCATCAGAAAAAAAATATCAGTTTGCATCAGAAACCCTCTAGAGAGTGAGCCAGTTTGTTTATAAAATGCAAGTAAATAACAAAGCTAAAAAGTGATCCATGTTAAATAGAATTGTCCCAAGTATTTGGGGAGAAATGAAAGCACCCTGCTAAATCAGGCACAAAGAGTGCTCATCAGTGGTACCTTCTCAAACTGGAGGGAGGTAACTAGTGGGGTGTTGCAGGGCTTGGTTCTGGGCCCAGTGGTCTTCAACATTTGTATTCATAATTTAGATGAGGAAGTCCAAGGAAAAATAAATAAAACTGGGTGGAATAGTGAACACCCTTCAAAACAGAATGAAGATCCAGGGTGATCTTGATAGACTTGAATGCTGGGCTGAACGCAACAGAATGAGATTCAATAGGGACAAGTCCTCCATTTAGGAAAAAGAAACCAACTACATCAATACAAAATGGGGAATGCATGCTTCAACAGGACTGGAAAAGAGAAAGACCTCGGAGTAATTGTGGACAGCAGGCTAAAAATGAGCCAACAATGTGATGCAGCTGCCAAAATGGCAA